TAAGAATATTTGAAGATTTTTTCAATGTTATAATATATTTTAAATATAATATATGCTATATGTTGTTATAATATATGTTATAATTTATATTATATAATATATTTTAAGGTCATGAGCATATACTAAATTAAGTCTAATGATTATTATCTCATCCACAAATAAAGTAATTTGACTACTAAATCAAAAAAAAAAAAAGGAAAAAAAAGAAATACGTAAATAAAACACAAATGAATTACAATCATGTTCATTTTTTAGTCGTATGTTAATTACCATTTTTTGTTATTTTATAGGAGCTTAAACTCACCATCGTGTAAATATTATACTTTTATATGTATGTTTTTAATTTATTTATAAGTAAATTCATAAATTCAAAAAATAATTGAAAAGCATAAATTTCACCACCACTTTAAGTGTAAAAGTAAAATATAATGCAATATATATATATACTATTTTAATTTCGTTTTTTTTTTAAATTTTATTTATAGAAAGATGCTTATGAAAAAGGGTTTGAGGATGCTTTCGTTAAAAGTATTTACTACCCATCAGGTATCAAGACATTTTATCATCAAGTGATCATGTCCGTCCCAGAGGTAAGGATTATTAACAATTCCTCCAAAATTAATTCAAAGGCATTGCATGTAAAATAATTCTACAAATAAATAACTGACTTTTTTTATACTCTAGATACTTTTTCGACGTGGTCACGACAATATATTTTCCAAAGGAATCGCTATTAGTATATTCGGGCGAATTTTGGATGATCCTGAAATATATGAAATTGGCAAAGAAAGAATACCTGATGCACCTAAAGCAACTATTTGGAGTGATTTAAAATTTATAAAGGTATTACGTAACTTGATATCTTTTGGAAGAGGTTTAACTTTAGAAGTGAAAGTTAGCCCTTTGCACTCGAAGCCCTTTTAGCAGTTAAAAAAAGGGTCGCAACAGCTAACATTTTGAAAGATTTTTTACAAACTTACCATATAATACCCAGAGATCATTGAATGAAGTGGTAACTAAACAAAACATTAAGATGAAAAAAATTTCACAATTAGAGTGGTGGGTAATTTACAGGCGACAGTGGTGACCTCTCGAGTGCAAAGGGTTAATACTAAAAAGTAGGGCAATGGGGTAACCAGTCAAAAACATTTTTACTTATACGCAGTAATCTTCGTATATGAGTAAACCCAAGTCAAAATTTTTCGTGGTTTTCCATTAATGGTAACCATCAATAATTCCATCATTAACTATTATATATTTGATGTTAATCTACATAAGTAACCGTCACTCCAATGTAGGAATACAGGCTAATTAATGATGGGGCAACATAAGAATACAAACTTGTTTTGATGCTTTGTTCATATTAAACCATCAGAAATGTCCATTATAATTTCTCATAAATCAAATCTTGGAACGATCATGAACAACCATCATCCCAATGTAAGAATCTGGACAAATTTATGATGGGACAACATAAGAAACACAGATTGTTTTGATGGTATATTCCTGAGTACCAACAAGAATTCCCATTAAACCATCATGGAAATGTATAGTTGGAACCATCATGAACCATAACGGATCATCATGAATTGTTGGTCCATGAGAATCAAACATCTCTTAATGGTTAACCATCATAGTATCAAAGTAGCATTTTCCATCATGGAATGATGAAAATTTGCAGGCATGTCAAAAAGCATGAGCGCATAATGGAAAATGTTGGATGATGATTTCAAATGATGTTGGACCATTACGAATCGCATTGACACCAGCATAAACTATCAAACTGATTTGATGGGACCATTAAGAATTTTTACTTGGGTACATAGGAATCTTCGTTTATTGTGCTTCTATATTGTTTTTTTTTTAAAAATTTAAATGATAATTTTCTGATTACTTCTTATGTGTCATTTATTTCAGGAATTATTTTTTTATAACTCCAAAGCGGAAAGGATAAGAAAACAGGTCTATAATTATGATTTTCCATATCTGAAATGCAAAACAGCACAGGAAACATTTGATGCTTTAATGAAATGTTGCCTTGATTTTGTAGAGGTACTGAATTACAAATATCTGATTTTTGAATGATTAATATCATATTTTCTGACATTATTCTATTTTTTTTATCTTAGACTGCAATACACCACTTTAACTGTTCAGAAAACTCATCTAATTGGAATATAATAATTTTTTCAATACTTCATCAAGCTAAAGGACGTAAGTAATCAACACTTTTACTTTTGTGAAATTGTTAACTAAGCGCCTTCAACAGAAAAATGTTACAACTATAAATGAAAAAATGATCGTTATTTCAACCATGGGCACCACGAATTGTTTCGTTTAATACAGAGAAATTGTGTAAGATAATACTTTATGACAATTCAAACCTTAAAATCAACATTGTAAACAATTTTTCTGTATCCTAACACCAAATATGGTGAAAAATGTAATATTTTAAACCGATAGAGGTCTCATGAAACACCAGAAGTGCTTTTTTGTATAATCTATCATCAGAGATTGTTTTTGGTGCCGCCAAGCATCTTACAGTTTCGGTGCTCAATGTCACAAAAGCTTATAATAATAGTAAAATGTAACACATATCAGAAGAAGTGATATTACTTTTACGATACAATTAAAAATAGGAACAGTTTCGGATGCATACTCACATGAATTGTTAAAATAAAATTAGTTTGTAAATCTAGCTATACACATGCCAAAAAATATTATGATGAATTCTAATTAGTTTTTACAAAACAGAAACAATTAAAGATTAAATGCGTAAAATTATTTAATACAACTGGCAGGTATTTAAAAATTAAAATATACCTATATATATATATATATATTTAAAAAAATGAATGTCTGTCTGTGTGTCCCTTATAGACCATCCGACAGAAAGCGGTGAAATTTGCCATACAGTCTCTATAAACATTAGAGCATTCTGCGACAAATCGTTCTTGCAGGATGAGAGAAAAGCGAAATGGGATTTTCTGATTGGTTAAGAGTTAGCCATTGTTTTAAGTTTAGAGATTCAATTTGCACATATTTTAAAGATAACATCAGTGATAATTGCTAAAAAAGGAAATTATTTGAGCTATACTAATTGAAAAACTTAGCGGAAGAAGCAGGTAAGTGACATTTTCAGAATGAAAAAAAAGTTGTATCTGAACTATTTTAATACCAATTTAATAGAAGACGGGACTAATAATTCTTCGCTTTATTGTTCCTAATTTTAAATAAAGCCTAACTAATTAAAAAATAAAACCTTATTGCCTAATTTGAAATAAAAAATCATATTAGAATACTAAAAAATTATGTGGTTAGTTGTGTTAAGATTTAAATAAATGCAAAAGCAGTGATTCATTAATTTCCCTTAAATATCCCTTACCTGGTTCTTCCATCAATCTCTTTAATTGTGTCGGTATATGCTTTTCAGTTAGGAGCATGATTTCGTAGTGTTTCTTTACCCTGATTTATTGATTCTTTACTTATTTTTTATTCACCCCGGGCATTCAGCTAGTACTTAATTCAATGCACAACAAAAACATTTACACATTTTGTTATGGCGATGCAGATATGCAGTGCGCAAAATATAAAACGAACCACCCTGAATAACGTTTGATCTAATGATCTGATCTTCACGTTCTAGAAATCAATCCTAATGGTTCGGGAATGACCTCAAATATGCTAATAAATGTTTGCAAATGGTATTTTAAGTTACGAAAACTGACAAAATGTATTTTCTCTGAATAAACATACCTTTTGTTTCGACAGATTTGGTGTTTTGTCCCTCAAAATATGGGGGATATTCGGAAATTGGGAAATGTGACCCCAATAGTCTATTCAAGAGAGCGATCCAAGTTTGGACCTCTTAATGTTAATTTTACATTTTGCTCATTTCGTCACATCTCGAAAACTTTTGAATCGAATTGAAAATTTTTGCACACAATTGTAAAATTCGTTTTTCCAAATATAACTCCATACAGAATACAAGTTTCATTAAATATTTATTGTTTTTGTTATTATTTTTATTTAATATCAGACGAAAAAATTTTGAATTGTAAGTTATAAAATTTTTTACAACATTTTTGGTGCAAGTTTTCTCAGATTGCATATTTTAAGGATCAGAAATCCGAATCCGTTGAAAAAAAGACATGTTTATTCAGGAAAAGTACGTTTAGGTGTCGCAATTCGAAACTTAAAATATCGTCTTCACCAATTAATTTGTATATTTGACTTTATTCTCTAAAAACACTAAGATTGAGCCCAAGAACGCAAAAATCCGATCATAAGATCAAATGTTATTTAGGGCTATTTTTTTGTTTATTTATTTTTCGTACTCTGTACAGCAGCGTGCAAGATGACCATAAATTCACACCATTTCGCATTCGATTGAAAGTAGTTTACAGACTTTATCTGAAGTTAACCGAAATCGGCGAATTTGGAAGTGAAATTAAATCACTAATGGTGTGAGGGCGCTTGGTATACCATTATTGGTGTCTCGATATAACTAAACAATTTACAGTGTATATGTGCACTTGATTTGCTGTTAATATAAAAAAATAAATTCTTTCCCTCATTTTTTTAGAGTTATTTAACACTGAATCCGGGGAGATATTTCGACTCAATTTTTTAGTGAATAACTTAACAATTAAAATAAAACTTTCAACATTGATAAATATAGGTTATTCTAAATATATATAGAATGTTCAGGAGTTTCCATTTAAATAACTCGCCTTTTATTTATCATGTTTAGAAACAGTTCCCCTCCCAGTTGAATATATTTTTTTAATTATTTATCGAAAATGTTATATATTTGTGCAAAATTATATTTGAACAAGTAAAAACTGGTTCGTTCAAATTTCAGGGTTTGATAATGATGTTTACAGTGATTTTGGAAGAATATTAGCTACGTCCTCTAATTTAGAAAGTGCTGATGTACCTTCTTCAGTGCAGGTAGTTAAATTTTATACTGTTTGAGTAATGAAAGAAAGCATGATAGATTGTCACATATTCATTCAAAGGCTGAAATCTTTCAGAGGATAATGCAAAAATGTTATCTTGAATTTATCTGTAGGTGAAGAACAAGATGACACGTAAAGATTAGGCAAGATAAGTGGTCACAAACGCTCTCCAAATGCGCTAAATTGCCACAAAACCAGGGCTGAAAGATGCAACACACGTCACTAATAATTAATTCCACAAAAATTTGCAACATGCTTTGTTTTAAAATAAGTTATTTTAATGCAAATGTTCGCACCATCAGGGTTGCTTGTACACCAAAAAAACTGGCAATAAATCCAATTTGACAACCACTTTTAACAAGAAAAAATTGCCCGTGATTACGAAGTTTTATTAACAGTTATTTTTCTCGATTCAACTTTAAAATCCATTTCGACCTAGCGTGGCATATACGTACCGAGAGTTCTAAGAATTCTATAAAATTTATTCTGATTTTAAAAAGGACTGTTTTCACATCAGGCAAATGGTTTTTATTAAATTCAAAATAAAGAAGTAGCTAACAGAGGAAAACATTCACTTAGCTAAAAAACACATTGTCGCATTTTTTTTCTTTACGTCACAGCATAATTTTTTTTTGGCTTTAAATGGTTAACTCCATATGATAGCTGTGCGCATCATGTTTTGAGTAGTCATTTTCCATCCATCATGATGTTTGGTCAGTGAAATAAGACGGTGTAGTGTGGAATGCAAACGAAACCTTTAGTGGCGAGGGGGAAATATTAAACGGTGAAGTATGGTTGTGATCTATAGAATTAATTTAACAATATTATTTGTGTGTAAAAAGGTTAACAATACAAAAGGATTATATACAAGTGACAATATATGATATTTACAATGATGTGCAAAGGGAAAGAATAATTAAATCAGTGAATATATACCAAAATATATGCATAGGGGAAGAAGTCAAACTTCCATGAACATAATGTAAAATGGTCCCCCAGTTTTTATGCAGTCCCTGTGTATAAAGGAAAAAACAACATCAAAGTCCAGCTCTTCAAATACTCAGCTAACTATCGGGTAACTGCTTGGTGTGATACGCTGTACCAGAAAACAACTTACAGGGTGGGAAACATGCTCAGATTTATTCATTATTCATTCGTATTCGTCATTCGTATTGTGATCCAGCTGATGCGCATAAGAAGTAAAGTGACAGTCAGGTGGTACGCGATCTGTAAACCGATTGTTGGACAACTTTGTGCATGCATGGTTGGGTAAGCTGCTTCCCGCTAACTGCCGTTCAATTCTTTCTTTCTATGTCAAAATGTTTCGATGTCAATTTCTTTGTAGCAGATTTAATTAACATGGATTATATAAATGTATTCTCAAAGAAATATCTTAATAGTACACCAATAGTGTAAAAATAAATTTATCAATAGTGTAAAAATACAAAACAAACCGACGATAAAAAAAGAGAAATTTTTTCTTCTTCACCCCAACCCCCAGTATTGGAGGGCTTTCAACCGTTTCAAGAACCTCTGCTGTTGTGCCCCTAAATGTAGTTTTTTCCTTTATACACAGGGACCTCGCCGAATCTTGGGGATTCTAAATAAATCTAAATAAAATAATAATAAATAGTAAATACTTACTAAAATTTATTTTTCTGCATGGATTTATCTTTTGATAAACAAATTTTATAATTGTGTACAAAGAGTTTTCAGTTCTCTTTAAAAGTTCTCTAGATATGGCGAAATACGCGAGAAAATAAAATTAACATTTGGGTGTCGAAACTTTCGATTGCTTTCCTGCCCAAACTATGGGGACCATATTTCCCAGATTGTATTTTGGGGATCAGATTTTCGAATCCGCCAAAAAAAANAAAGAATTTTTTTTTTTTATCTATTCAGAGGAAGTATATTTTTTGTGTCTGATTTCGTAACTTAAAATATCGTCTACACTAATTGATTAGCATATTTTAGGACACTCCCTCTAACCATTAAGATTGAGTCCTAGAACCAATAGATGTTCCAATTAGATCAAAAGTTATTAAGGTTTGTCGGTTTTTAATTTTGGGCACTGTACAATCAGATTGATCTAGTTGTACACTAACTGTTACGATCAAGTTCAGCCTTATGTCAGCAAAGGTTTTGGAGAATTTTACATGGCAAAACTATTGGTACTATTCAAAATATAATCCTTGACGCTTTTATAAATGGTGTTTTATATAATCATGCAAAATTTGCTTCGACAAAAAAGGGCGTAGGAAATTAAAAGCTATATTCCTTTCACTATACCACTATAACTAAAAAGGTATTCTAATAAAAATAATGCAATTTTTAAGAATAAGTTCAAAATCGCTCATTTTGAAGCTAAATAAAAGATAATTAACTCTTTATTTTGCTCGAATCCACAAGTAAAACTGCCATTATTTCTAAAAGTTTCAAAGATGATCTTTCAAATTTCACCAACAGTTCTGTCATGTAAAATCTTCTAGAACATTTACTGCTAAAAGAGAGATTGTTTCCTTAGATATATTAGTATAAGTATAGTTCTTTCACCAAGAGTTAGCACTTGGTTCCACCTCCTCGGACGAATAGTTTATTTCAACGCAGGTGTAACAGGAGAAACGTCTCCGCTCTTGAAATTGAAACAACCCTTAATGCTTACCAAACGCAAACAGTGAATTCTTTTTCAGTCACGCTTTATCCTCTGCTATTGATCCCGTTTGTTACTCTGGAAATTTATGAAATATATAATGTTAAAAGAATACGCATTAAGATTGCGAAATAAATATTTTTGTTATGCGATCGCCAAATAGCAACCTTGTACAGGATTATTCACATTCTTCTCCCAAAAATAACGACATAGTATCGTCAGATACCATGTGATTAAGGCGGAGCCAAGTGCTGACTTTTGATGAAAGAACTATAGTGTTTCCATAATTTTGTCCAACCCCTGTATACTAACTTTCAGCACTGCTCTCATACTCTCAAAATTCACGTTTTGTTACAGAGCATTGTTTTGTAGTCCTTCTTTCATGTCCGGAGGGTGCCCATATATTTACAACTTATACTTAGTTGTTATCAGAATCCTGACATAAATACCTAAATTTTTAAAGCAGTGACTTATCAGAACGCATTTAATATTTTTCCACAAGTTAAAATTGGAATTTCTTTTTTTCAGAAAGTGGCAAATCAAATTGTGAAAGATATAGGAACAGAAAAGTTTGTGGCAATGAGTTTAGAAGTAAGTATTTTTATACAAATACTTTTCAATTGGGTGCTTGCACTTCAAGAAGAAGAAGACCTTCCTTAACCACACACGTGAAGTCAGTGCCAGCTAGTCAGCAAAATGGCGTATTTAAGTTGAGCTAAGTTTCTCCACAAAAGTTAGAATGTTAATTAACTATAAGTTAGTTAAACACAGAGCCATATCGCACATCGAATGAGTTGAAATATAATTCTTTCTCGTCTACTTATTTTACTTCACTTACATTTATTATTTCTTCATGTATTCTATTGTAAACTTCATATATTTTTGTTTTGTGTACCTGTCAACTTCGATGCATAATAAGTGTGTTTATGTTCCACATGGTCAATATGTTTACGGCTCTCCTTGGTCAATATGTTCACGGCTGCTTATGAAATTTATTTATATGTTTGATGGGCCGCCAAAAGATGCTTGATGATTTAGAGTTCCTTAGCAAAAAAAGAAAAAAAAAAGAAACGTAATTTCGTGTGACAATAGAGCATTCGAAAATTAAAGTGAGTGATTGAAAACTACATTCGCTTCAAACATCAAAGAATTGGAAACAACAGTTGTCATGTTTCATGCCCTCAAAAACAGGCGCCCCTTTTAAAGATTTTCCAGACATGAATGAAAAGAAACCAATTTGATTTCAAACAAAAAATGCAAAGTTTTTTAATAAAGGAAAAAAACAATAAAGTTAAGACACAAAACTAGAAAAAACCGCAGTTTTCGAGAAAGAGAGAGCTCTGCTACTGTGGTTTTTTCTAGTTTTGTTTCTCACCATTATTTTGCGATTTTTCATTAGCAACTTTGCTCTTCTATTTCAAATCACTTTTGTTTCTTCTCATTCACAAAATAGAGGCTCGTTTTTGGGTGCAGAAAACATGTCCACTGTTATTTTCAATTTGCATATTTTTGATTTGAATGAAGTAGATTTCAATTTCATTCAAATCAAGATTCCTCCTTTATTTCATACAGTTTCACTTTCTTAGTATTATTTTTCTACTTAAATGAATTTGATAAATACTCTTTCCAACGCATTTAGCTGAGTTGATTTTGAAATTAAGGAAATCATACATCTGGTATGCGAAATGGTAGTTCGAAAACTATTAGAAAATTGAATGAAAAGCTGTACATATACAGATTCCAACTGCTCCGGTTTCGACAAAATATTTTAAAAAATGGTTCAGAACTGCTAACTAAAATTTGAAAATTTTTGATTCATTTTGGCAACTTTTTAATCCCTTAAGGACGGGTGATTCAGAAAAACATTCTTACGAAATCAGAATGAAGTTGGAATTAAATAAAAAACGGTAACTTAAATGCAGTCGTTGCTAATTTGACAGACTTACTTTTCTTTTACTTTAATTATTGTTAGCTTAATCATATATATAATCAATATTAATTTTGGTATCTACCATGCGTCAGTTGGAATACGTTTTCTTGTTCTAAAGTAAATTTTTTAACGAAAACAAATGATATTATATTCTATTTACTTGATAAGTAAGTATATTTTTTACATAAAAGAGAAAAATCGATAAATTATTTGTTTTAACTATTGTGTATTCTTTCAATAACTGAAGATGCAAAATTTTGTAATTTGAGTAATATTGTGAAGCCTATGCTCGCCATTTTGTTTAAACAATAATAATAGAAATACTATGTTTCATTACCCGTTGCGCACACAAAGCCAGTTGGAGACAGTTAGAGTTCGAAAAAGAACTGTGAAAGCAATCCCGGGCATACACGACAATACTTTTACTTGTACTTCATTACTTTTTAAATTTACTACTTTTACTTGTTTTTTTTTCGTTACTTTTTTTGGGAAGAAGTCAAGTATATTTAACGAGAATGTCGAAAGAAGTCGTAATTTTTTTCTGAATTTTTTTTAAACATTTTTCTTCTCAAAAAAATATTTTTTTTTTCGGAACTTTCAAATTTACTTTTTTAAATTTATAAATTTAATGTATTATATATTCTTTAACGGCTAACTTTTTTAAGAATTGCAATTTTCTGAAAAGGAGAGGGTGGCTGGTGGGAGGAAACGCAAAACCCTTACTTTAACCTCTTGGGGACGGATGATTCATAAAAGCATTCGCACAAAATCAGAATTTGGATGTAAATGAATAAAAAACGGTAACCTAAATGTAATCGTTGCTAATTTGACAGACTTACTTTGCTTTTACTTTAATTATTATTAGTTTAATTATATATATAATCAATGTTAGTTCAAAGTATAACTAAATAGTTTTATTTTGAACAAAGTAATGATGAATTAAATAAATCAAACAATTATAGCTCCGCCCACAAATAAACTGCTAAAGAATTACTTTGATTACCAGTTTTATCTTTTTACCCTGTTTGATATGGTTTTATGCTGGCACGTATTTGTGACAGTTGGCGCGAAAGAGTTAAAAGACTGAACACAGCTTAACTGTAACAAAGTGGCGTATTACATATGCCTTTGAATTATTTAGAAGTAGAGATGAGTAAAAACCGTATAAATCAAATTTACTAAAAACAGAAACTAAAAGATTAAACACAGCTTAACTGTAGCATATCACATGAGCATTTGAATTATTAAGAAGTAGTAGTGAGTAAGATCCTTATAAATCGAATTTACTAAATCAAGAATCATACATTAAATGTCTACCATTTGAAAATATTTATCTGCTTCCCGAGGCAAGTTGGCATTTCTGCGTATCTGTATGTACTGCCACGCTGGCAACATTCTGTAAAAATTTATCCTAGTAGCAGATAATTTTAAGCTTAATTGTATTATTTTTTATTCATTTAAACTTCTCAACCACTACATATAAATTATTTAAAAGTTCATATGCAGTGCTATTTTTTTCCAGTGCTATCGTGGAGAGTCTGTTAAAATGTTCGCAGAATAACCATAAATTCTGAAAGCTTTCGGTTTTTAAATGTCTACCACTCTATAATCTATTTTGCAAATAGCGTAGTAGTTCGCTGGCCTGGTCTGGTACTGTATGTATTTAAAAAAATCATAATAAAGTATTTCGTGAAAGTTTGCAATACTGTATTCATTAAAAAGCCAATTGTAACTGTAAGATTTTACGCATATAGGAAGCAGAAAAATGGTTGAACACATCAAACACACCGTCCAATAAACTGTATCGCCAATTCCTGCAACGACATGGACACAGATGCTTAAAAGAGGTATGTTTTCATTTCTGGCTAATGAATTGTCCAGTAGTTAGATTGGAATAGCAATGCTATTCTAATTACATGGAAACCGGCATTCTTTTAGCCCCAATTATTTTGAAAATATTTGGCCTAGCAAAGAAGCTAGCTTATTTCTGAAGGTGATGATCAAAGCTTTTTGAAACGATGCCTTTCCCTCCCTGCAAAATTTGTATTATGAGCAAAATTACACAGCTAATATTCTAACAGCTTTGTAATTCAAAATGTGCTAACTGTTTTATAAAATTTTCTAAAACTGATAAAGAAGCTGCTTACATAGCTATTACTAGCTGCATAATAATTTGTTTAATCCCTTAATGACATAAAGGCATTTTTTTATAATCATTAGTTAAACATTTAACTTGTGCTGTTTACAGATTTTATAATATTCTTTTTAATGTTCCAGTTTGACGTTTATTCGACTCCATGGGGCCAGGATCAAAAGATATTTGTTAAACTTCTAAAAGTAAGTTTATATTTTTTTAATATTTTACTATGTAAGGAGTATCAATTCCCAATTTATAAATATTTTTTTAATCAGCAGATCGGCATATTTTCATGCAGAATCGAGGATTGAAATACGTTTATGCTCTACAATCCCTGAAGAAATTATTAGGCGCACTATAAGATTTTGTGTAAAATCTTAATTATCAGGTGATAATTTACAGCTTTATTGTTTTTACGTGATTGAAACCGGTTTGCGCATTTTTGCGTTCGTGTATCAATTGTTTAACATTGTAATGCAATACGCTAAAATAAATGCAAATAGTAAGTATATAAAAAATGTCTTGAATAAAGACTTATTACATTTATGTTTAAATACAAAAGCATTGCATATAAACTCGTGCAAAACATACAAATATTAAAAAACTTCAGTGCGTCTATTAATTTGATCTATTTATTACAATATAATAATGTAATACCTGATATATAATTAATATTTTATGTTTATATAATATATCGTTTAATATATCCAATCGTCGAATTTATATTATATATTGCCTCAGGCAACCAATTGATGCACAGACGTAAACAAGTGCAAACCGGTATCAGTCGGCTTAAAAACAATAAAGTTGTATATTATCACCTGATAATTAAGATTTTACATAGAATCTTAAAGTGCGCCTAATAATTTGACCAGTGACTGTACTAAGCTTTGCCTGAAAAAACCTCATATCTAATAAAAATTTTGATACTTTTTCTTTAATAAATGGCATTTTTTATAACACTTATAACGCATTGATAACACTTAAAACACCTTGATAACACTTTAAACATTTTGGCAACTTGTAAAAACATAACATGTTTACTACCAATAACGAGAAAACTTGTAATGGAAGTTTATTCCACAGCTTATGTCAATGACGCATGTCAGGGTCGGGACCATATATGGCAACGTTACTTTTAAAAAGTAACGAGTAAAAGTACAAGTATTTTTAAAAAGAATTTGATTTTAAATCTTCTTATTTTAAAAAGTAACGAGTAAAAAGTACAAGTAAAAGTACAAGTACTAAACAAAAAAAGTAACGATTTAAAAGTACATTTCTAGGAAATCGAAAATTCAAAGTAACCTAAAATTTTATTGAATAATATTCTTATGTTCTTTAATGTTTTTGCAAAATTGTTGTTATTTATTTAATTATTTTTAATTTTGAAAGTTATGGACATTAATTTATTTTTAAATTCGGAAGAATATTATAATATAATTTTATAATATAATCGTATAATATAATTTTAAAATCAAATATAATTTTAATGTCAAACTTTTTATGGATTTGCACTAAAAAGAAATTTTATCTATTGATTTTAATTTTTAGTTTATTATTTTTATTTATTTAAATTACCATTGATTTAAAATTGTTTTACTCTATAGAAACGCGTTTTAAAAGCACAAACATAAACAAAGCAAACACGGGGTTTCAGATAGCTTTGTGATCTTTGAGCTAGTAAAAAATAATTGAATGTGCAGTATAAGTTGAAACAGAACAGTCTACAGTTTTATTTGTAACAATGGCTAATGCTGAAGTCATGCGAGAAAATCATTTTCCGAACATTTCTGCCTAACGGAATAATTAAAATTTGTAAACGAATTTTAGTATCAGCGGCTAAATTAATACCTTCGAGTTTTCAAGAGTTAAAATAGTAATTATAATAGTTTTCAATAGCACAAATAGTTCTGAAGTTCTTAGAGATTTGACTGGGCGTTGTTTGACAAGGTCGGGCATAAACATAATTTTAGTAAAAAATGTACTAGGTAAAAATGTATTTAGTAAAAAATGTATTAAGACAAAAATGTATTATTAGTGAGTTCAAAAAGAAAATTGAAAAACGTAATAACAAAATCCAACATTTTTTATTTAAAATGTATTAAATAAATGCATAAAACTCGAAAATGAATGAAAATAACTTGCTAATTAATATTTTTATTCATTTTGCAAAATAATTGCATTTCGAAAGTGGTGTCACTGAGTCTGCTGCGAGAATTTCTCAGAACGTGCTTAGCCACACTGAATAAGCGCTCCACGGGAGGTCAAAGTATTTAAACACGAAGTTAGCTGTGAATGCATATATATTGCACATTAATTTTATAAATCAGAAAAAACATAAGCATTTTTTTAAATTAAATTTTTTTCTTCCTTTTTTTCTTTTTAGAAAGCTTACCGAGCTTCAGAAAAAAGTAACGATTTCATTCGACATTTCCGTTACAAATACTTGTACTTTTTCCCTAAAAAAGTAACGAAAGTACAAGTAAAAGTACCAAATTTAAAAAGTAACGAAGTACAAGTAAAAGTACGTACATTTTACTTGTTCCGGCGGTACAAGTAACGAAAGTAAAAGTACTGCCATATATGGTCGGGACAGCTTGCATCTCAATGAAGAAGTGCAGATACAAATATGAAGGTGCGATAGGACTTAGCAAACATCTTACTTCTACTGAGCCCGATTGATGGCATAATGCCTGCGAAAAATATCCTTTGATGCGGAAGAATCCTTTATGTGTTCGGATCATCTTCATTGATGTTTCCCAGACCGTCGCCAATAGCCCATTGTGCAGCTCTAATGAGACTTAAATAAAGTACCAACCTACCTAGCAATTTTTCACTACCGTAATACCACCAGAGATCTGAACCAAAAAGTTAGGGAAATTTTGGTGGTACTTGCTCTTCAAGAATAAGAATAAGAAGAACATTGATACCCACACATGTGACCTATGACGCCAGCGTCAGCTGATCGCTTATAATTACAATGGCATGTTGAAGTTGAAAAGTTTCTCCACATAAGTTAGAATGTTATTAACGTATAGTTACTGAAACACAGCGCAGTACAGCAAATCGAATTTGTTATAATTCTTTCCACCTATGTTTTTTATTTAACATAGATTAATTATTTGTTTATGTATCTTATTGTAACCGTGATATATTTTCGTTTTGCGTACATGATAATGACGATGCATAGTTAGTTTGTTTATGTTCTACATGGTTTCGTGCCTGTCTTAGTGTTAAGTCGAAATGTATAGCAAAAAAAAAGAGATCTTTGCGAAAGAATCTTTATTTAAGAATATAGAACGTGTCACTTTAGACATCTTTAACTTGGCGGGGTTGGCTAACTAGAAATAGAAGGGAAGGAACAGTTGCTAGGGTAAACAAATGCCATGCTTCAACAACTAATCAGAATCGTGATTCCGACACTACGTCATTTGCAGGTATCCCATTAGAAAAATCAAAATAATTTTATTTTGTCAACAATTAAGGAAAAACTGATAAGATAACTGCTGTAATGATGATTCACAATATTATTTATCTGATTCAGCGTTGCACCTTCATTTAGAAATTGAACTGAAAATGTCCTTTTTCCAAACAATAGCCTTTGGTCAAGATCACGGGGTAGCGAGTATCACCGGTTGTACGGGTTTTGCACACGATTATAACGCTGCAATAGTAAAAAACTAAAATTAACTAAAATTAACACAACGCATTTTAGTTTCAAGTTTGAATTCCGCTTCGTTCTTTTCAAAAGCGTCAGAAAACTCTGGTATCTAAAAGAAAAACTCTCATCAAGCTTAAAATTTCATTATTTTTTTAAGATATTAGGCACTTTTAAGACTTGTTTTTTTATTGTTTTCAGACCCTGTCCAGCTGCACAAAAGAAGAAACTGAAAATTCTGATGACGATTATTCAAAAATATTTTCAGAGTTACGAGTTCCTTTAAATGTCTTAAACAGGTAATGCAAATATGGGCAAAAACCTGATAGTAGTGTGCTAACAGTATAGTATTTCGGAGGCAGTTGTGTAGCAATTAAACAGATGATACACAAAAACGTTATGTTCATAGATTAACATATTAGTAAAATAATTGGGTAGCACAGTTCTCAGATAATGAAACTAGTAATACAGACATATTCAATCATAAAATATTTATACAGTATTTCCGAAGTACAGTTGTTTGATATTGGAGTCCCTATCTAATTATTGAAAATATTAATATACCTGAATATCGTTGTTGTTGCCTTAAGGCACATGCCAATATTAATAAACCAATTTTAAAGCAGAAGGGTGCTCTTTTTCTTGTTTTCCAGTAGCTCTATCTATGGAAAAGAATTCGACTTCTACCACACACATAAGTCACACCCCATTTTACAGAGAGGACATATTCACACATCACCCATTCTTCCACAGATCCTAATTTTGACTTGATTCAGATCACAATCAATCTCCGGTTCTGTACGCAAAGAGGTATTTATTTGCTATTGGAAATTGGAGAACTTTGTGATCACTACATATTTAGGGTGCACCAGTCACAATTTTGTGGACATGGACCAACGCCTTATCATATCAGCCTGATATTGCACGATGTATCTTTCCATTTACAAGAGAAATAAATCGTTAGGTTGAATTTCTTTTTTGACCCCCTGTTTAGTAACCCCATGATGGGGAAATTTGATACCGATGCAGAGTCAGATTTTTACATGTAGCTCCGTGGAAAGGTAAAATCAACATCTTCTAGGCATTTATAAGCTAGAAGTACTGTAATAAACGACATATCAGCCTAACAATATAAGATGTTTCTTTTCACTTAAAAAAGAACTGAATTGTTGAGGTGAATTTCTCTTTCGATCAGCTCCTTAAGTAACCCATGATGGGAAAAATTAATAATGATGAAGTATCAGATTTTCCCTTTTATCACTGTAGAAGGGTAAAAACCAACAGATTCTAGACATCTTTAAACTAGAAGAAATGTATGTTACATCAGCCTAACATTACAAGATGTTTCTTTTCGCTTACGGAGAATTAAATTGTTCGGGATTCATTCCTTAATAACTCAAGGAGGTAAAATTTAATACTAATACAAAAACCAACAGATTCTAGACATCTTTAAACTAGAAGAAATGTATGTTACATCAGCCTAACATTACAAGATGTTTCTTTTCGCTTACGGAGAATTAAATTGTTCGGTATTCATTCCTTAATAACTCAAGGAGGTAAAATTTAATATTTATAAGGCAAATAATAGACTTGTAGCACTGTAGGAAAGGCAAAATCAACTGATTCTAGACGTTAATAAGCTAGAATTATCATAGTATAATGTCATAGCAGTCTGACATCAGCCTCAGTATTTCTCTCCGTTTTCATGAATGCTAAATTGTTCAGGTAAATTTCGTTTCGGATCCGTCGCTTAGTAACAAATGGTGGAAAAATCTGATACCAATAAAGTGAATAAAAGGCTTTTATCAAAGCTATATTACCTAGCGCGACGGAGAGAAATTTTATAAAAAAGAATTTCGTCAGGTTTTTTTTTTTGCATATGACAAATTTTGAACACTGACTGTTAATATTAGTTGAGTTAAACTCTTACCCTTTTCGGTGTTCATATGAATGTAAAACAAGAAGCGATAACTATCAAGAGTGGTTGAATAAATTTATTTTTTGTTTGAAAATTATGAAAGAAAAATTTTCGATCTTCCTTATTTTTTTCATAGAATTTAGAATTTAAGTTTTGTTACGACTACAGCTTTTATGAAAATGTAGACATATCCATATTTCTTCTGTAAATATGAATTATCTCATTAATTGCAATCCTATATTCATACTTGTATCAGATATTTTTAGATATATATTCGCCTTGTTTAATGAAGCGTAAGGATAAAATAGCTAACCCTCTCTTTTGTATTTACTTATAAATAGATACAAATTGACGTAATAAAAACACAGGGAAAAAGAAATATATGTTTATTTTCGTACTTCACATTAGCGAACAAAAACTAAAGTTGCCATCCAGTGCTTCAATAATAAAATAATTTAAATAAAATAATAAAAAATTAATTATAGATAGAACTGTATTTTGGCAAGTATTGGTAATCACTACATTTAATTACTTTATTTTGCACTTTTTTTTTCTATCATTTGAGGAATCTTTTCAAAAATGAAAAAGCTTACAGCCATGACCATGGACCTGAAAGTTTCAGTATTTTTCTTAAATTTCGTCTTGATGCATTTATTTATAAGTTAACAAGAAAGTAGCAAAAAAATAAGGGGGATATTTTTAATTTCTCTACCTTAAATAATCAGACAAAAAATATACTAAATTGAAAATGTCATTCTGAAGAAATCTGTAGCTTTTCGAACGAAACTAATTTCAGACTTGCAATCTTCACATCTAAATTAGGTAGGGTCAAGTGCTACTTGTATACATGTTATCAAAAACTTGTTTCCCAGAGTGATTTACAGCGTACAATTTTTCACATCTACAATTACGAAAGAGAGGTTATTTCTTTGATATTATTTGGTAGTACTGCAATATATATTTCTTTCGAAAAATTCTAAAATAAGTTGGAAAATTTCAGGTTGCTTTTAAGATTTGCTATTCCAAACTGTCGCAGGGGTGTACGAGCAAGAGAATATAGTAAGGTAAGTTCATTTCTAAAGTTACAGTAAGTTCATAAGTAAGGTTGACTATTAGTATTTTTTTTAAACCCTAAACCTACTAAAGTCTTCTCACAATGTAAGTCTGATATGGGAAAGCGATGATAGATTAGAAGATATATTTCAATAGATATGTACTAGGGTGGTAATATTATTCAATAATATGATTTCAATAGATATGTACTACAAAGAAAAACAACAATTTTAATCACAATCACAAATTTAAAATTCTTATCAATTATTGCCCTGTCAACCAGGCTATCCCGGCCACTTTTTTTTGTAACAAACACTAAACTGCAACTCTATTTTTTATTTTCATTGAAATTTAAAAATTTATTCATTCATACGTTAACTTTGAAAATACTGATTTTGTTTCTTTCAGTCATTGTCAATTAAAAGTATGGATAATTGGCGGAAAGGTTATAGACATTTGGCAAAGTTGATGGTATCGGAAGGCCGCATTCCGGATAAAGACCTCATATATTTTATGGCGTTGGATGAAATAAGAGATCTATTGCAAACAAGATATCCCAAGATTATAACCAGGTAAAACTTTTTTGAAACTTTTAAAAAGATGATACAAAGTAATGCTTTGATTTTAAAATCCTCAGGTGAATTGACCTGTTTCAAAACCTGATATGCCTACAGGTCTGAAATTAAGACAGAGATGAAAAAAAAATGGTAGGGTATAACTATTTCCTTTCCAGTTTGTTGTTGTTTCTAATCCCACTTGTAAAATACCAGCAAGCCTGATATGTGAAACTAAGCAAATTTAAGACAGATGATAAGTTTTTCTTGTTTTTCAGTGGCTTAATCTATGGCCAAGAATATGACTTCAGACACACACACTTCATAGCCCGGTTATTCATTTCTCCACAGATCTTATTTTTGACCTGAACCAGAAAACTATTAATCCCCAGTTCAGTACCCTCAGAGGCACTGATTTGTTTTTATATTATGGGTACTTGGAGGACTTTGTGATCCGACAGATTTAACGTGCACCAGTTACCACTTACAACACGTCTTCGGTCGACTAGGATCGAACTTACGACCTATTGGTTATGAGCCCAACGCCTACCGACCCTTTTCTTGTTAGTTTTTGAGTGTTGTAAAATATTCGCAATTACCGAGATTTAGTAACAACACCAAATATGAAATTTATTGCTGCCGTATTTTTTCTAAGTAAAGGGAATATAAAATTCTTTTATTCTAACCAATTTCAGTTATGAGCTGTTTACTGCTCTCGATCTTTTCTTAAGCAAAATACTCTTTAATCCCTTTTCAAATTATAAAACTTACGCATATTTTGCATTATATTTTATTTTTACACTTAAAGTGGTTGTAAAATTTATGCTTTTCAATTATTTTTTGAATTTATGAATTTTTTCATAAATAAATTAAAAATATACATATTAAAGTATAATATTTACACAATGGTGCGTTTAAGCTCCTATAAAATAACAGAAAATGAGAATTAACGTAAGACTAAAAAATTAACATGATTGTAATTCATTTGTGTTTCACGTTTTTTTTAGTAATCAAACTACTTTATTTGTGGATGAGATAATAATCATTAGACTTAATTTATTATATGCTCATGACCTTAAAATATATTATAATATTAAAAAAATCTTCATTTTTAGAGCGAACCAAAGAAGGAAAATCTTTCCTGCAGTGGATAAATACAAATTTCCCGAAATAATGCGAGGATTTCCAAAACCAGTAAGTTTTTAGTTTTCATGAAATAACACAGAAAAATATTTTCTGTACTTGTTTTTGAGTTTTATATATATATATATATATAATTGAAAGCAAACCACCATTAAATTTTCACATCCCCCAATTAATATGTCACAGAGCCGACCGGCCTATGTAGGGGGCAGGGAACTGTCCTTGCATCAGAAAGGTCCTGGGTTTGAATCCCGGACAAGGCATG